TTACACCTTTGTAAGAGTTAAAAGTCGTTAGTGCATGGATGTGAAAAAAATGGGTATCAACTCGTAAATCTGTGATAAAAAAAAACTAAATTCTATCGTGTCGCAAGCACCGACAACCAATTTTGTTTGAATTGATCTGCTTTTAGGTGTCGTTTTCGACAATCGTTGACTGGCAATCTTGTTGACAAACGTAATTCAAAAGTAACTATAGATGAGATTTTTCCTACACTTGTATCATAACTAATTGCATTTCATACCAGTTGGTTATTTTTTGTTTTTATATCTTCATGAACGTAGTATTTCAACATCATATACACTACAATTTTATTTTTTATTTTTAAAATTTACCACAGACATTTCTTCAAATATACTTTAGAAAATATTGAGTTAAATCATGAAATATAACTGCTCGCTACAAACAGTTAAATAAAAGTATCTACTTCGCAGAATAGAGCGTGGTAGATTCGTTATTAAACTACACTATTAAATTATGTTGTGAATAAAAATTTTTATTTTAAAGCTTAATCTGAAAATTAAAAAAAAAATTAAATTAAAAATAGTATTCGAATATATTATAACTATGATAAAAAAAAAATATTACCTGAATTATTTTGATACAATCTTTGGAAACTATAAATTGTAATAAACATGCACAAATATCTATAATGCAGATGTGTACATTGATATACTTATTTACATACATGACTGCGACACTCTTTTTATCAGCAACAGTGAAAATTTCCTTCTGGTTTACTCCATGCTCACTTCACTGGCCTGCAAGGATCGATTGGCTTCCAATGCGTCCGTAAATCCCAACGTGAAGATTTATTAGGAATTTTTGAGATCGAGTGCAGTATGGATAGTCGACTTTTTATCGGTGGTAGAAGTTTAGCCGGCTATAAATCTGTGTTAGCTTGAAAGTTGTGTTCATAACGTATGTCTTCGACAGTCGCTATTACAACTGCTACTAAGTTAACGGGCGTCTTTGACAGTAAACGTCGAAATTTCCACTGCTTAATTAAAATGTATGGAAAAAGTTTTCCATGTATTAATTTATTCTTTTATCACTTAACAGCTTTTTCTGATAAACAAAATAATTGAATTTTATTTTTATATCAATTAACTGGTTTATTTTTCAAATCAATTCACATTAAAATTCAAATTCAATGTCAAGAGATGAAAAAATTCAAAGAGACGAAAATTATAACCTCCATTAAAGTGATTGAATATTAGAGGAATTTCAAGTAATTATGATAAATAGAAAAAAAATATATATACGAATATTCCATTAAACTACTTGAATCATTGTGTAAATGTGGAAAAATATTCGACACGTATTCCCTTCGTCTCTACCAACCGTGAGTAGAATAAAGAATAAATGCACTCATTTCATTCGGCCATTTTCCGCAAAAAGTACCTTTCTTTTATTTTCGTTCATTTTCGATTGTCGCTCGTTCACCGAAAGTAACGTATTTCCTGGTTTATCGATTACGACACTCCGTCTTTTCTTTAGTCACGTCTTTTACCAATCCATACACTATAAACCAATTGTAAGAGTTTTAAAATTTTGTTCAAACTCTGTACTTATACTAATGTATACTCTCACTATTCAAATCTAAATAACATTTATTACTATAAACTATATACACTTCAATTGGACAATTTACATTGTTACAATATTAATTAGATTGCAATACTTATCTCAATTTGTTTTCTATTTACTTATGCTTATGACATAACCTATTTAACATTGATGTAAAAGAAAATCAAACTTTTAATTAGAATGTTAAACTGTTAACTTTCACAATCAAACGCTCAACTAAATTGTAATTACAAAAATAATTAGTTATTTGAATAATTTCACTCACAAATGATGTATTGATAATGAATAATCACTGGAAATTCATACTTATAAGGAATATCAATATTTTATTATAAACAATAATCTGTTGTTATTTTTGTTAATTATTATTGATCATGAATACGTTAAACATATTCAATTGTTATGTGTGGAATCTCGAAGCACAGTGAATACTCGACATAAATCCTATTAGTTCGTACTAGTGTGAAATCGAAATCCTGTGGCTTATCTGGGATATCTCCAAGGAAAATTCAAGTCTTGTAAATATCTGTGAAGATATAAATGATCAGTTAATGCTTTTTTATCATATATTTATTTACTTAGTTGTTTATTTATAATTTCATTTTGATTCACATCATTCGGATTTAATTACAATTTTAATTAACCCACTTTTCATTTAGAAATTACAATAGAAATTATAAGAGTCTTTATAATCAAATAAATCTATGACAATTTAGTTGAGTTGAATTACGTTAAAAGTGAATTGATGAACACATTTGCCAATAATTTGACATTATCTAATATCTTTTTAATTTAATAATGTTCATGTGCAGCAGAACATGGCTGAAATTTTTCATATAAATACAATATTCTATACGGGCGAATAAATATAAAATTTGTGTTTGCTCATTTAATAAAAAATATTATAGCACTATTTACTTTGGAATTGAGATAACAATATATCCTCGAATGGTCTGCATCATTGTGCAACGTATTCTCCAGCATAGTCCAAATGAATGTAACAGTAGAATATACGTAACAAAGCTGAATTTCTACAATGGATCCAAGTCCAAAACTACGGAGCTCCTGATTGCAAGCTTGTGAATCATTCATTTTAAAATAAATGTATTTATCACACAGGTGTAGAAGGTAATGAACATACTATTAAAGAGTTAAAATAAGCTTTCACGTGGAACACATTGATAGAATATTTTTATTATAGTGAAAATTAATTAACTCTTCATTCTGAATAATCAAATTATTTTTTTCTCTCTTGTGTCTTTTATAATAAAATAGTAATTGAATGAGAATCAGAATAAGTTTGAATTTTTATTTGTACGATATTTTTATGCTTTCATGTTCGCTTTATTTTTTTATTTTCATACTTTATTCTTTTTTTTACTCTCAATAAATTACTATTGTTCTCTTATGACTTTATTCTCATAAGATATTACTTTATATTATTAATTAAATAATCAATCAACTTATGATAATTCATAACTGTTCTTATAGACATAAATAATAACAAATTTGTCAATTTAACTTAAATTATTTATTTTTAATTATACGAATTTTGTTGATATAAATTAACATTAAAAACTAGCTATTTTAGCAAATTAATGGTAAACATGCAACTAAAATTATAAGTAGAAAACAAGCTAATGAGTTAAACGTACTTAAGCAGCTGACGACACATGTCATTAAATTTAAACAACGTTGTTATCAGCATACTGATTTTCTGCTGCATTGAACTTGATTAGAGTGTTAATGAAATTATGTCTGAAAAGTTGTGAATTAGGTTGGTCTCACATGTTGCAACTATCAAATATCACATTTAATGTACCAATGTATTATGTTACAAAAAACAATCACTGTCACCAACGACTCTATTTTAATTTTACTGTGATTATTATTATTTTCATGCCATATTTACATTTACATTGTTGCATTGGATCATTCGTTAGATGTTTATGTCAAGAGTAGACTTTTATAATTCCATTAATGGAATATGCGAAACCAATGTTGCTAAAATTTATGAGAGAAATATATGGCTTTTTAATAAATTGAAAGACATGATATTGCTAATAAAATGTATCTATTGGATTTTTTTTTCATGAATAGTATTATATTCTTGCTTGAGTAATGACATTTATTATAAAAAAAAATTGGTATTCTTGAGATTACTCGCCTACAAGATGATCATCTCTTAGAAACACAGATAGATTTACTAAGCCATGGGAAGTAAAGCTTCAGGAATTAATAGACCGTAGAATGCTTGTATATCATTCTGCCCGTTAAATGGCCTCAGGCAACGAGATATTAATAGTTTCATTGTCGACTCTTGTACTGTGCAAAAGTTACAATAAATCATATGGTCATCTTTATTACAGAAATTTTTAATAAATAAAAATTAAAACTTATAGATGAGAATTATTTTTACTAAATTATTTTTTTAGCAGAAAAATTAATTTTTTATATATGAGTTGTAGTTAAAAGTGTATCGTCTGAATTTATGGTTTAAGGTTTTTAGGATTTTATTGGAGCCATGTATTTCCTACCGAGATTTAGATCAGATGAACTACATGAAGCTATCAAATATTGATAAATATCCAATTTAATTTTTAAGAGAATATCATAACACTTGTGCACATAAAGTGGAGTTATAACTGTAAGATATAAAATTAATAATTTACCCACAATTTTATGTGAGAATCAGGATAAAAAAGCTTTCTCGGGGATATATCTAAATCATCTTGAGTTAGAATTTATTTCATGAGATAATTTTAAATTTATCAAATTTTAAATTTAAAAAATTTAACAAAAATTCATAATAATAAATTGGTAAATGTCTATGGAAAATTTTCAAAAGTTTATTGTGTCAATGGTTAATCAAGGAAATTTTTATTATCAATAATATAGGAAGAATTCAATTTTGTTTTATTAAATGATGCCGGCACCTGACATAAAAATTGAATCATATAACTACAATTTCAATATTTTACAAAATGGTTATAAAAATTGATCAAAAAAAGTATAACATTTATTTTATAGAAATTTTTTATTCTTTTATTTTTCTATTGGTTCTTTGTTTCATTGTTAAAATATAAAATCAGTTCTTCAGTATCCATTATATTTTATTTTCAATCAACAAAAATGGATATGTCACTTTAAATTAAATATCACCAAATAAATAATAACAATATTTTTGTTAAACTACCAATGGCAAGCATTAAAAACTTTACGTATTTATAATTCTTTAAATAAATTGGTAAACGTGAACATTTCGTAAATAAAAATTTATTTACTGCACTAAGTTTTACTTTACTCTATCCAAAAGATTCATCAACAGCAGCAACTTTTTATCTATGTGAAAGAGTTTTTACCAACTTAAGTAATTGTTTTTTTCTTCTTATCCTAGCACAGATCAATACCCAATGGCCATCATTAAAAATATCACGGTTGCGGCATCACCATGTGAACCATTGGGATCCGTACTTTGAAAATGCCAAGGGTGAAGAGATCAATGGACCAGAACATGTTGCTTTACATCTTGGTGCTACAGCGTTGCTTGATTGTAGAGTAGTGATGCTATCGGATAAAACGGTAATTTCATGGTCTCCCTTGAGCTTACACTCATCTAATGGTACCACTGTACCAATGTTAAATGTCTATTGAACCGATCTATTTGTACGTTTCCTATATGTTTACGGATCTTGTCATCACTGAACTGTTAATTATTTCATTGTCACCAGGTCATGTGGACACGACAAGATGCAGAAATACCATTTCTACTTACAGTTGGTCAGGATGTCCATATATCAGATCCTCGATACAGCATTAACTTCCGATATCCTAATAATTTTAGACTGTCAATCGCTTCCGTAAGAAGAGAGGATCATGGCCAATACGCATGCCAGGTCAACACTCATCCACCACGAACACTCATCACTAATGTTACAGTTTTAGGTAATCATATTATTATTTTGATGATAATGATGAAACTCTTGATTCCGTATATACTCGAGTTTGTACAGATCATGAAATTCAATTAGAATTTTTCAATTAACTCTTCTACAATTAGTAATAATTACAAACAAAATTACATAAAATTATATTTAATTGTAATTAAAATTTATTTTTATTTTATATGCAATTGCTCGTTAATCAGGAAATATTTTCATTTAAATCTCATTTTCTTCTGTAATTTTTTGCGAAAAATCAATTAAACTAGAGCTTTCATAGATTTGTAAACTTTAATTTAATGAATTTTCATTGTTTTTGAAGCGTTAAAATGTAGCAGTAGACAGATTGTTTGTCAGAAATTCAAGTTACTTTTTTTTAAAATCTTCGTTACAAGATTTACAAAACTTTATAATTGTCTTTAAGAGAATACTTTATACTATTAACTATAGTTATTTTCGAAAAAGAGATTATATAGAAAAATTTTATTCAATATATTGCAAGTAAACTTCAATTTAAACTAGTACAGAAAACTTTCAAGTACTCCATAATACTGAAGGTTGATGCTTCAAGATTTATCTCTTTTGTCTTTGTTATAAATTGTATGTTTAAATAAAATGAGAAGTGTTCAAAAAAAAAAAAAAGCTTTAAAAATAGAAACTCGATTTTTTAAATCAGCACATCTGAATGATGATAGTAAAGAAGAAACTTTCTGCATCAGGAAATACATATCGACTCTTCATCAGAATGCTCAAGAGTATGTCAGTTTGTTAACTATTGTTAGAATTTTACTTTTGACTTGTCTCTAGAGATCAAAACTCCCAGTTACACTTTCAAGTCTTAGTCTAGAAGTACTTACCTAAGATATTTCTTAAAACTTCCTAGAGAGAATATATAGTGTAGTATACTTAAAAGAAATGAGTAAAAGTTTAGATCTTATATAGGAGTGTAGAAAACTTGATGAAACTGTTTAGCAAAAAGTATCAATAAAGATAAATAGTATAAAATCTCATAATTTATAGATATATGAGAAAAACATTCTCATTAAAAATTGAAGTAAACACTGTCATGTAATACTTTGGTCACCGGAATCGTATATTTACTGATGAAGATAAAAAAATTCTCGTCGATTACAAAAATGTTCTGCGAAAAACTGAATAAATAAACTACAGAAATAAATTAAGCTAGAATTATTTACAAACTTTGTTCATATTTTGGTATGATTCTATTTGAAAAAAATATCTTTTGTAGATAAGCTCAACTCATTTCATCAGTAAAAAATTTAAATGAACTTTTGAAAATTATTATTACTTCATATGTATTATTTTTAAATTAATTTATACAATGGATAGAAAAAAAGATTCTCATCATTTTAACAATAATAAAAAAAAATATATCTGGTGAATGTCTGACCTAATATTGGTGTATATTACTATCTCACTAGATGGTTGAACTATAAATATAGTGCAATAGGATAGTTAATATTGAATGGCTTATTGGAAAGCAGCATGTTTAGTAGTCGATAGAGATAAGCTTGCACTTGTCGAGGATTCAAACAATCACCCATACTTATGTTAAAAGACTATCATACATGTGAGATCATATTGGACCGATCGTGGAACAGGCGTCTCCGATGCATATTTACTTCACAGTGAACATGAACATGTATGATGATTTATGCTAGCATTTATGACTAGCTATAAATCCAGATCAACGTTACCGTTCACCTGCAGGAAAATTCGGCAGCTGTGGGTACAGCTCGCGACAGCACGTGACAGTCTGAATTTTGGTGCAAATGTCAAAAACACATCCTAAAGCATGACGCACTGAGTGAAAAGGTCGTTAGATTCTTGTTTTGATTTATTACTGACTATTATTATGCTTACGACTATTTGTCATATTCTACGAATGGTTAAGCTTGACAACCATCTCCAACGAAATTACGATTTTTTATTATTATTTTAATATTTGTTTCACTTGTTAAGTTTACTATTTTTAAAAAAGTAACATTCCTATTACAGTTTCAGACTAATTTTTCTTTAATAAAAAATTGCATGCAATTTTCAATAACTATTATTGATCTATGCCAATTACAGAATACCAAGTCTTTAATTATGGCTTTCATTTGAAGAACTTCTATCAACAGAATTTATGATTTTTGTTTTCATTTATTTGTATCTTTAATTAAAATAAAAATTTCCATTTATTTGTATTTTTAATAAAAACATTATTAAAGAAAAAAAAAATGTTACTACTATTAAAAAATCCTCTCATCACTTGTATTCTTATTAAAAGAAATAATGATAAAACAATTTTTTCAGCGCCTGAAATTACAATTATGGACGAAGCAGGTCATGAATTACGAGATCGTTACTATAAAATGGGCAGCAGCATCGAGTTAGCTTGTATCGTCCGACCATCACGTCCAAATGCAAAAGTACCACAACCAACATGGTTTAAGAGTGGCGAATCACTTCCAGACCACGTTACTGTTTACCACATGAATGGGTAAGTAAATCATTTTAAACCTTCTAATAACTGGTATATATTTACCTAACAAAAGGATGTCAAGTAAAATATTAAACATAATCTTTGATATTTTCAGAACAAATAATGAAGTAATGGTTGGTTTACATATTAAAAAAGCAAAGAAAGTTGATAGTGGTGAATATACCTGTTCTATTGGAGAATTCAGTAAATCTTCAGTACAAATTCATGTTTTAAATGGTAAGCTTCATTGTTAAAATTTTTCTATTAAAATAAGTAATCAGAGTATCTACAAAATATGACAAATTAAAAAATTGAAATTGTTCATTTTAGGGGAAAAACAAGCAGCAGTGCATCATGACCAGTGGAATAGTGCAAGATCAAATTATCCTTTGAGTCTGACATCATTGTTTGCAGCATTAATCAGTCAGTTCTTTTTGTAGAACGCATACATTACAATATACTAATTTTTAAGTACTTAAAGGCAATACAGGTTGCTATAGCACTATTAAAATTCATAGACGTGTTTGTAACGTATTATGCAAATGTGCTTTTGACCCCAATCCGTCAAGATACTTCAAGTTTAATCTGAAGAGATATGAGCAAACACTCATTCAATGAACACATAAAATTAATATAACGTCAATGAAGTATTGTTGTGAATTATAATTTCTACTTGTATTAATCCATCTAAGGATAATAATAAGTGACAATTGTGTAAATATGAATAAAACAATATGCTATATATGTATATTACTTGATCAATTCATATACTATATTATTTATTGATGTAGTATAATTAAAATACGTTAAAAAATGTGATCTTTATGTATAAAAATTCCTCGATATGTTTATTAGTTAAAATAACAATCATTAAGAAATTAAGAATGAGCTAATAAATAAATTAAAAAAAAAAACATTGAATTGTGAATTAAATTTGTTTTATTTGGATTTTCATGTATTTAAACGATTCATTATTTTTATCAAAAATTAATTATTACTGATAATTTTATCGATTATTACAATGCACACATCTTTTGTATTTAAATCTCCCTCAATCTTATCTTATTTACATGATAGTTTTAAATTGAAACCTATGTTCTCAAGAGAAATCACATGAAAATTAATTTATTAATATAAAATGTTCAAATATTATATTCAGCATAAGAAATTGTAGGTTTTATAGAAATGATTATATCATTTGAAGAAAAATTCAAAATTCAAAAACTTGTTCCAAAAATATTTGTGTAATGATGTTCAAATAGATAACGAAAATTTCATCTGATGGAACAAGATAGTGTATCATGAATTTATAGTATGATTTCGTTGTTATCGACAATCTATCTTATCAATAATTCAAAAAAAGCTTGATAATAAAAACAATAAGTGCTTGAAAAACCTAAATTTATGAAAAATTATAACCATGAGCAAAAACATCAATCGTAATGTTATTAATTATAATATACATGACTATAGTAGGAAAATAGACAAAAATCTTTTACAAAATCACTCAAAATATAATAAGAATAAACAATGATTGATTATTTTAAAAATTCACTTATCACGTATCAATTTTTCCGACAACTTCAAACCACTGTCTCAAAGCATCACTTAAAACTCCAGGCATAGCATTAATATCTCTAAGAATCATATAAAATGGGAATGGAAAATCATCCATGTATGAGCGTATTTCCAGTAATCTTCCACTGTCAAATATTGGCATTCTAATGTCCAGAATTGAATCCTGCAAACAATAATTTATTAATAAAAATATAGTAATTGAATGAATGTTCAAACATCAAGACAAACAAAAAAAAACAAACCTTATTTAATGGACTTTCAACAATGATAAATACCAAAAAGATATTGGCAAGTTTAGCTCTTCGAACAGCTTGGTTAACATAGTCAGATCCTTCTGAGAAAACACCTCGACCATCAGATAATACTACTAAAAGCTTTGCATTATCTCTTGAGTTTACTTGACTTTCAAATATGTCAACAGTAAAATCAACCAGCTGTCCTATCATTGTTTTCTTCTGATCAAATTGCATTTCTTGAATAAGTCTAGCACCACTTTGTTCATTAAATGGTTCCCCAAGAGGATGTAGCACTTTAGGAGATTCTCCAAAACTAATAACACCCAGTTGACCAACTTCTAAATAACTCATAGCTTTGCTAATCAAAGAAAGTGATTCAAAAGCTAACTCTTTTGAATGATTATCAGCCATACTACTGCTGTCATCTACAGCTAAAATAATTTGATAGTCTCTCTTTGATGGTTTAGTTCTTCTTAACCATATTTTATCCTTTCTAAATTGACTTGCTATATAGGGAATAATTTTTCTCATATTTATTCTTTTTCCTGTTCGATAATCACCTTTTAATCTTGATGCTTGTGTTGGTTCTAGTACAAGTCTCAGTTTTTCCGATAAATCTCTTGCCGGAGTTTCTGTTACGGCACTTAGACAATTCCAAGCAGTTAATGCTTCTTGTGTTGATGGAGTATAAGTCCATTGGCGCAACATTTGTTCTACTTCAAGTCTCTTTCGCTCTATATGTGACAAATTTACGAGTGAATCTATTTCACCAATTTTTTGTGTATAAAATGCAGATTCTTGTTTTCTTGAAACAGTTAATGTTTGAACTAACTCTCCTTCTACTTCAACTTTATTTTCTGCATGAGAACCAATTTCTTCTTCATTCATATTTTTAGTCTCTGATTGGAAATTTTTCTTATTTTTATCATTCTCAGGAGTTACTTCAGACTTTAATGATTGTACTTCCTCTTGAATAATTTCATCATTGTCTATGTGCATATCTAGATTTGATTCTACATCATTATTTTCCTTATCTTCTTCATTCTCATCTGCTATCTTTTGTTTTTTTACTTGTTCTTCAGTAGCTGTATCAATTGCGCAATCATCGAATTTTTCAGAATCTTTAACATGTTGACACATATCTATATTACTTTTATTGTCTTCTTCAAAACCTTCTTCACTGTTTTCTGCCTGTTCTGATTTTTTGTCAAACTGCATTATTTTCTGTTTTTTTATATTGGGTTGTAAATTATCCATTAAAACTCGATCTTCATCACTTTTCCCAGGATTTTTTCGTTTCTCTAACGGCCGTTTTTCTCCATTTCGTTGAATTGGCATATTTTGTTCCATCACTGAACCTAAATGTCCTTCATTCTGCTCTTGAGATTGTGCTTGGCCGGTTCCTTTATCGTTTCCATCATTATGTTCGTTTTTCTCAGAAATATCTTGATTTTGCGAATTTTTTTCTTCATTAAATTCATTTGGAACTTTGTCTCTCGATCCATCAGGTTTACTTTCTACTTGATCAGCTGCATCTGTCTCCTTACTTTGATCATGAATACTTGGAGCTGTTTGCTCGCTATTTGACTCCTCTTTATTTTCCTTCTCATCATCTTTTTTATCATCTAATTCATGACCAGGAGTTTGTTGATTAGGATTTTCGGTATCCTCAGATTCTTCAGCATCTAAATTTTTTATTTCAAGATTTTCAGTTGATTCTCCATTTTCCTCATCACTGGATTCTTCACCTTCTTTATTATTTTCATCTTCATTCATCTGTTTTTCTTCACCTTCTTCATTTTGATCTTTTTCTTCAGAAATACATTCTTTCATTTGATCGACATCGAACGGATTCTCTTCATTTTCTTCTGGTTTTTCCTTACCTTCATCATCATCTTCATCCAAATTCAAATCATCTGGCAAATCCATTGGCATACATTCTGGCTGGGTATTATCGTTTCCATGATATGGATCAATTTGATCATCATTCACATCCGGTTCATTCATTTCATCAATTTCATTTTTCTTTTGACTTTTTTCATCATTACGATCATTGTTTTCATCATTTTTATTGTCTTCGTGATTCTTAGAATCATCTTTCGCACTTAATTCTTTTTCTCCAATTGCTTCTCCTCTTCCTTGCTCTTCAGTATCATTACCGTTATCCTCTTCATTATCAGACTCTTCATCATCTTTCCATATTTCTTCATCAAGTTGCTCAGCACCCTTCTCCGTTTCTCCCATCTCTTTGTCTAGATCTTCATCATTATCGTCCTCATCATCGCTTTTATTTTCATCATCACTATCATTTTTTTTCTCAATATCTTGCAATTTACTATCAAAATTTTCAGACATTTCAATACCACCTTCTTCTTCTTCGCAATTTTTATCTTCTTCTTGTTCTTTTTCTTCTCCAGCAGGTCGAGCATCTTCTAATTGATCTTCAGACTCGATCCTATCTGAAACATCTTTTTTTCCTTCTCCATCACTTAATCCCATTCCTCCAGCATTTACATCCCGTTCTGTACTTTCTCCATCTGCATCTTCTTCCTCCAAATCTAAATCTTTTGGCATACAAAATCCTTTAGTAGCTAAATCTAAAAAGACATTAAGTTGAAGATATAAAATCTTACATGTCGTCCTAAAAACAGCTACTTGCTCATTCAAGTAAAATTGAGAAAACAAAATAAATTGTTGTAAAATCGGAAAAATTTTTATTATCATAGAATAATAAATTGGAGAATAAACAGGATTTAAAGAAAGAATACTTTGAAGAAGAGATTGCAATTTTTTATTTACTTCCTCCAGCTGCAGATTCTTAATATCTTTTTCAAGAGACTCAATTAATTTCTCACGAAATCCATTGTCTTCTAGCTGTGAGTTTTCTTTGCCGTCTTCCACACTTTCATCTTCTTCATTAACGTTTTTATTCACTTTTAACTCATCATCAGGTGATTCATCACTTTGTGTTGTAGCTTCTTTATACTTCTCTTGTATCATGACTAAAATTTTCATTACAAGCTCTTCCACTTCTATTTTTACTTTTTCTACATCATTATTTGTTTCTGTTGAAGAATAAAGACTTTTAACTGTTTTTGTTGCATCAAATGTTTTAATCCATTCTTCAGCTCTTGTTTTTAAGAACTCCATGGTCATTAATATTGGATGACCTTTTTCGTTTTCATTACTAAACATCATTTCAAGTTTTACAATTATTTTCACTATTTTTTCAACATGTTTGTAACATTGTTTTAAGAAATTAAAATGAAGACCACTTCGAATTACAACTACAGAATTATTTAAAAATAATTCATCATACGTTGAAATCATAGAATTGATTAATTTAATAGCATTGTTTATTAAATAATCACCATTTTTCCAATCTGGATCATCTTTAATTGCATTAACCATTGGTATTTCGTTTACTTCTAAGATCAAGATTTCTTCTTTTAATTCAAAAATATTTTCTTGGGGACAAGTCTGGAAATAGATATCTATTTGTTCAAATCCAGTCAATAAACAAATTGCGAGTTGATTTAATTCATTAGCACAGTTTAATATATCGTCGTTACTTGGAAGATCAATATCATTATTATTCTTTAGCTTTTCTAAATTGATTATTTGTTTCCTTAATGTTACATAATCTTCTATATGTTTTGTTAGAAACTTTTTCTGCTTTTGAGCTATAGATAGCAGATGAATTGAAAATCCTCGACATCTTTCTATATTCTGAGGTCCTAGATCAGTTTGATTTTTAACAAAAGTACTATTTAAAGATTGTAAATAGATACAAGATTGATAATAATACTTTTCACAGCCATCCCAATACGCCAAAATTTCATTATCTGCATCTTGAAGATGATCGAATTTCTGAAATGCATGTGCAACATCAAGAGGTGGTATAGTCATGTCAAAAATTTCATTCTGTTTATTTTGCCAAGCTATTAAACCTTTTCGATATGAAAGTCCAATATTTGTTAGCGTTTTAAAGTAATCAGCAAGTGCTAGTTTTTTTTGTTGAAGAATACTTTTTGCATGTGATTTTTGTTTTTGTTTTGGTAAAGTTCGATCTACTTCCATATTTTTAAGTTCAATGCTTCGATTCATAAATTCTCCAATTAAATGATCTATTTCCACTCGTAATCCTGGATACATTGACATTAATATAGTTTCTTTACATAGCTTTTTTGCCTTTTTTGTTAATAAATTTGATCTTTCAATTAATGAATTATCTATATTTGATATTTTAATGTCATTTTCATTATTATCTAGAATTATAAAATAGTCTGGATTGATATAAATATCATTACTATTTATATGTATTTCTGAAGAGCAATTTGTTGGTTTGATAATCAAACAAGCACTTATATTTTGATTGAGTTCAGTTTCATATTCACGAATAAATTTGAGTAAATTTCTGTGTGTTTTTTCTACAGTTGTTTTTACTGACCAATAATTAATATCATTCCAGCGAGCGATTTTAACAAAATCTCGTAACTTCTTTTCAATTGGAGCTTTTACAGAATTTATTTTTGTTTTGATATCTGTTGAAAATTTTTTATAATATTGATAAATATTCCAAAATACTGCAAGAAGCTCTTGTCTCTCACTACTAGGTTTTAAATAAAATACATGAGAATGGAATGTTAATAATAAATCAAGTCTAACTTCGAATTCAGCAAGAGTAGATTGACTTATAAAATTTTCTAACAATTCAATCAATTTCTTCAATGTTATTTTATCATCTTTTTCACCTTCTGCTAAATCCATAGTCCTAGAATTGCCTATAAAATCATCTTTTAAAGGTATTTTATTCACATATGAGTTTATAAGAGAATAAAGAAAGAACCACCATTTAGAAGCTTTCGCCATTAATCGTTCCAGAGTGGAATCTAAACAATTCTTCCAGCAATTCAATTCCAATTTTCGCCAGTCAATGATCTGTTGGGTTAACGAAGCTGAATATTCGTGTAAACTGACACCAATGTGTGCGTTTTCTTGCCATTCACGTATTTTACTCGCAAGAAGCTCAAGACCTGTGAGAAACCGAGAGACTGATGATGTAACCGGAAAAGTTTTTATTCTCTGAATAATTATACATATTGATTGTAAAGTTGGATGCTCAGGCCATTCTTCTAAATAATCTTTGACTCTATTTATTATGCCATCTAAAATTAGTATGCACTGTATTACTTCTGCAATATTACTACTTGTATAAAAATCGTAAGATTTTTTTTTGTCATCGATAGCATTATTAGAGCTATCAATTAATGTTTCTCCAGAATTCATGGAGACTGCAATTGATGCTAAAACATTGAAACTGATATATAATTTCGTAGACAACTGTGACGAAAGAGACTTTTCCACTTGTGAGTACAATGAAGTGAAAAGAGAAAATCTTTGAATGAAAGGATCAATATAATTACGTTCAATTGATGTATTAGAATTTTTCATCCACAATGCCGGAATAAATGATTTAACTATTTGCGAATGAAGTTTATAAACTTCTAGAAGATCATGTTCAGTAATTAATTCTGCATACAACTGGAGATTTTCATTAGTTTCTTTTCTCTGTTCAAGAGTTTGTTTGTCGTCAATACCTTCAAAGTCATGATCATGTTTGCAGGGAAATAAATGTCTTAATTGCTCATCTATCTCTTCTTCTTCAGTCAACATTTGCCCATTAACGTTTATATTGCCCTTATATAAACTTTCTGCTTCTGCTGCTGCTTTCTCTTTTTCAATTCTTTGCTTCTGCCATATCAGAACAATTTGTGATAGCAATTCATTTAATAAATTCCATAAATCCATTGTTAATTCTCGTTTGAGTGTTACATAATTATAAAGCTCATAAAGAGCATTTTTTAACATATTAAAGAGTTCTATTAAAGCTTTGAATCGATCCTTTTTATCTAAATGTGTTTTAATAAATTCTCTTCCATTTTGTGATGAATATAAATCTATAAGCTGAAGTATACTTTGTTGATTCGGTCCAATTGTTGGAAATTGAACGAAATGTTGTAAAAAATGTTCAGCAGTTGATAAATTAACTCTTGTCTCTTCTGTGACAATTAATCGATTATTTTCATCAACTAAAATATCAGCTCCATGAATAATTTGTGTTAGACCCGTCATTATTGGAGTCACAAGCTCACGATAATTAACCAAAAATTTATCTTCTAATGAATTCATAATAGCACGCCAAGTGCTTTGACGACTTTTTAATATTTCTGACGCATGTCGTGCAATTTCAATAGACTTTTTTAAATTAAACTTGTCATTTTGTAATAATTTTAAAATGGCATTATGTGTATTCTCTGCACTATTTATAATATACTCTGGTGATCCAACATCTCCTCGGAAACAAGAAACTTGTTTAACTAAATCTCCAAAAGGTACATGTGAAGATCGATATCCTTTTGATTGCATCAATTCAGTGTGATTTTTGTATGAATTCTCTAAACATTTGTTAACTTCAGATAATCTAGATGTGTTTCCTCTTCCAATCCAACCGTGATCATTCATTAGATACGAATCTAAAGTATTGGAAGAAATTATTGTTATTAAATCGTTGATATCTTCATGAGTGTACGATAATTTTAATTCTGTTTTTATTACGGGATCAATGAATCCTAAATGGCTGAATAAAAATAATTGATGTAAACCTAAATAAATCCAAGCTAGACCACGATCAGCTGCTTTTGATGTATTTTCATCTGACTGTAATCGATTTTTAATCATTACTAATTTATCTAAAGGATTTTTATAACAAACATTATACGATCGTTCATTATTCGTATTATTAGTAATGATAGGATCATTTGAATCATGAATAATTAATTCACGAACATTACAATTGTTTTCAACATTTTCAATAGCTTTTAAATATGAATTTATGTAGGATATTAAAGATTTCTCATCATTTTCAATATAATTATATTTTTTTGAATTTAATGGTATGCTATTACGCCAAAGCATATCATTTACCATTTTCATTTGATCTAAATGAATTTTATAAAGTCCTAATGGAGCAATTGAAACAACGGAATCATCTTTATTTCCATCGTTAGCCAATAATAACCTTGATAATGTATGTATTAATACTGGATTATTATCAGAATAATTTAATTTATTTTCGTTTGTGTCAGATAATTGGTCTGAATAATTCGGAAAATCAGTCTGATTGATAATTTCATCAAACGGCGAATTTAAGTAAGAAGTGAATTTATGAATATTACAGAATTGATAATTACCTTGATATTGAAATAAATGTCTCAACAATTCTGGTAATAATCTTTCACGTTCAGGTTTATTATCAATTTTTGATAAAGTTACTTTTAATATTGCAACTAAATGAGTAGGAAGATTTAAAAATTTCAAAAAATTATTTATAGTGTTAATTCCATTTATCATCTCATTATCATTGCTTTTTTTATATGAATGTTCACTTAATTGTCGATGAATTTTGTACACAAAAAGAATGAATCCATATTCATATAACGGCCAAAGTTGTACATCCATTGATATTTTTATTAAATATTCCCTCGGATAATTGGTAAGTATTTTTTTATAAACAATTTTCACGTTTGTTTGAGAATCTAATTCATATTCATCGTGAAATTCATTAATATATGTTCCTATATTATTCAACATTCTTTCATTAAATCGATCATTGAAAATTTCTTCCCAAATAATTATTAAATCTGACTTTATCTCAATAGATTCATCCAGTTGTAATAGTATTAAATTAAATTGTCTATCAATCGGTTTTTGAAGTGGTAATAAAAAGTTTTTAGAATAATTAGTAATTTTCTTATATCCATCAATCATTGTTTGTGATGTAAATGGACGCATGATATTTAATTGTCTCTTAACTTTTTTTGCTAATTTTTTAAAAGACTTTTGATAATGCAAAAAATTATCGAATTCAGATATTAATGTTTTCAATGTTTCCTCTATTTTTTTATTGTCATCATGATCCTCAGTACTTTTTGGTTCTTCAAAATATTTTAATAGTAATTTTCTTAACCATCTATAATGAACAACTAATAGCATTTTCGTAAAATTGTTCTCTGTTTGTCCTTTCTGTGATTTATCTATAAACATTAGTTGCCCTTGTTTATAAAATCTTCGGAACCATTGAAGATTTAATCGTATTTCAATGTATTTTTTATGATCACATTGAGATAAATTATAAAGATAATTGGTAATCCATTGATGAATATTTGTAGCGAATGGAACAAAATTCGTTACTAATGGTATAATGTTATCTTCTTGTAGATTATAGTTATGAACCTTTTTAGAGTATTCTTCTACTGTGATAATATTTTTATTTTTATTTTGTTCTAATTTTTCCGGATAGTTAAAATCGATCATTTTCATATACATTCTTAAACAAAGTGGTTGAGTTATGTCAAAAGATTCTGTTTGATACCATGGACGAGAAGCGTTGAATATTTTATCTGATTTCAAGATCTCATAAGTTATTTGTTCAATTTTATTTTTAAATGATAATAAAAATTGATTTTGTGAAGTAGAATCGCATATAAATTTATTCAACCAAACGTTCCTCATAGAAATATCTTTAATGGAAGACTTTTCAAAAAAGTTCAGTAAAACGTAAGGGAAAATTTTCGTTATTTCCATATCAATAAAATTACCACATTCTTTCATATTCAAATAATCGTTCAAGAATTTTGTCGTTGCATTTCTAGATGGGTCTTGAAGATATCTAGTTTTAAGAGACATTAAAAAAATTCCCTGTTGGGAAATTACAGTTAACTGAGCATTTTCTTGCAGATCTCGAATGTTCCAAGTTACTGCACTTAGGTCAATTACTGGTGGGATGCTTTGTGTAACGTTGAATTTATCAATTATTCTCTCTATAATTGACATCAAACGATTTTTGATTTCAGGCTGTTGGATGTATTGAGACTTAATATATACATCTATACAAGAAGTAAAGAATGCTTCCCTCACAGAAAATCCTCTTGATATTTGCTGAGTAATCAGAAAGGCACAGTGCAGTAGTTGGATTGTGCTGAGTTTATCTGTTAAAAGCTGTTGGCTCGAAACTTCTTGATGAATGTTTAACAAAATCTCTTGATGGTTATTTCTTGTTAATCCTGTATTGTACATCAATGATTTTATGTCTAAGTCATTTTCTTGATAACTTTTCTTATGGTCTAAGAGATAAATTTCAACTCCTCTATTTCTCATTGCTCTATAAAAAAAAATATATATATTTTAAAATATAAGTTTGAAATGATCATTTGCACAACTTTTCATCAAAATATGTCAATTTTTTATATCAAGTTATGATATATGATGTAATGTTATGAATACATGAATAAATAAAAATATATTCCATTTCTTACTTTCAAATACTAAAATATTCAATAATAATTTACCTCGATATTTCACCATAGTGTGGATCCATTGTTAGGAAAAGTCGAAAGTTTTGGTGAGGCTTTATTGTATGGATTCGACCGTCATTATCAACACCTCTTTCACCAACAGTAAGTACTCCCCCGGGTTCAAGTAGCCCATTCAATCGATCTAAAACTGCTGGACTACAGAGATTCACTTGATCCACTAAAAGCCATGTTCCATCTTGTAAGCACTGGTAAAATACAATGTGATATTAGCTATATATTTGATTATATTTTAAGAATCATTTTTTATACCTTAACAAGCACACTGTCCACCCATTCAAACTTCCCTCCAGCATTTAAACAATTATCTTGTTTTACAAAGTGTGACAAGTTTGTAAGTTTATCCTTGATTGACGCTAATTCTACATTTCCTGAACATGTGTCGAGTGTTTCCATAGCAGAAATTAATGTAGAGAGCTCTTTTGTTCGTTGTAAAAAAATTTCTGTCTCGATGGCCATCGTGGTTGAAAGACTCTTGTCTAAGCATGAAATGAAAAAATTCAAAAAACAATATATTTACAGAACAAAAGATGAAAGAGAAATTTAATTACAAAAAAATTAATGAAAAGAATTCTTTTAACCATTTCAATAATTAGAGAATTAATAATGTAACTTACAATGAGTACAATAAATAAAAGAATTAATGACATTTTAATTTGTGTTATCAATCATGAAATATCTTACAAATATTTCTGATTTAAAACTAATCCATTTTCATATAATCTTTCTAACAATAACGTATAAAATGATTACTTATTTCTTTTATAGTAAAACAAAATGACATTTAAATTTTAAAATTCTATCAATGATAAAAAAAAGTTTAAAATTACCAAAAGACAGGTGTCTAATCTTTTCCAGTTGTCGATGAAACTCACTGACTTGTTTCAGACTTTTCTTATCCAGTTTCGCCCTCAAGACTTCAATCAAAACTTTCTCTGTCCTCTCAATCAGTTCTTCCAAGTGCCGGTTATAGTCCGTCTAAAGAAAATATGAAAATTTAATATGGAAACATTAGATTAGATAATTAAAATTTATTAATTTCTTTCTCTAACTTGTTAGGATAGAAAAAGATGATAAAAGAAGAATGCTGTTACAAGTACAAGAATCAAACGAATAAATGTATGATAATAAATTTTTTATTTTTAATAAAGCCAATTTTATTAGCTAATGTAATGTTTACCCAATTTTTGATCTAATTTTATTTTAAAGTATCATGTTTGTGAGCAATATAAATATGAACAGTATTATTTTAAATGGATATCCTAGAAGATAATTCGACCACAGCAGACACAACTTATCCCACATGAATCAAAATGATTGATGTGGGTCCTACGTACACTTCTATCCCTTGATGATCTGATCGCCTTTTGACTTTTTTTTTCTACTACTCTTCCTTTTTTTCTCGCGTCAATCCTAGTATATCGAGTTGCGGTTTCAACGTCATTCTTGCGTCGTAATCGATAATTTACGGATATATCATGATAAATTTTATTCAAGAGTTTTCATTGATAGGGTAAATTCCGTGAATATAAATAATTCTCAACTAAAACTTAATTTAGATAAATTAAAAATATTCTGGAATATAATCTCGACCAAGGTATCCACAAGCTGAATGAATTTCACGTTCCATATTGAAGTTGTGAAATTTTAGTGGTAGTTTTATAATTCCAAGCAGTTTGATCTCATACTATAAATCAGGCTTGAAAAGAAACTTTCAAAATTATTATTCTTCGTTGATTTAAAATTTAAAATACAAAACTTCAATAAAAATAAAATTTTTTTGTTGTTTTATAAAAATAAAAAATTGTAAAAACAAAAATATTTTAAAATATCATTATCATTTTTTTTTGCTGTATTTATAATTTATTAGATCAATGTTTTAACTTTTGATCCCTTCCATTAGTTTATTTCAATTCCAATAAAAATAATAGTCTCATACAATCGTTGTAATTCACTTCATCTTGAATTATTGGCTATAAAATTAATTTATGAGTTAAATTTCTGTTTTTTTTTTATTTTCATCAATTCTAAAAATTTTACAAAAAAATTGATCAAAAAATAAATGTTTTTATTTATTCTGCATTATGCTATGTGAAATGAAAACTCAAGTGATATCTTTGTTGAAAATTGAGTGAGACTCGAACGAGGGTTTTAGGGGCACAATTTGTTGTAAAACCCAAGGAAACAAGGCGTTACCTCTTTGTCGTAGAAAATTACAATTCAACAATGAATTCTAGTCTTCTCTTCCGTTAGATGCTTCTAAATAACATTATACACAGATTAACGAGAATGTTCAAATTTTCACACAGACTAGAAAAGAGATCTAAATATTAATTGAATATTTATGACACAAGACATTGTGATGCCATTTACCCTTTGGTCTATTCTTTAAAAATTTAAACAAAGAATTTTTATATTCAATTAACATCAATAGATTAAAATTGAAATAAAAGAATTATTCATACATGAAGAACGAATTAGATCGTTTTCCTCGAGAAAACTTTAAGCTAAGGTAAGCTAAGATAAGATAAGGAAAAGTCTAGATAAGATGCTTATTATTGATTGATATAATAAACAAAATATAATCAATAAAGCAGATACGTACGATAATACTCTAAAGTCGATAGAAAAGCACGTACATAGCATATATAGTGAGGGTGTTAGTAGACATTTATAGATCGACTAATATTTGTTGTAGTTGATTGTAACAGCTTACCTATGCAACAACAAAACCTAATCTTCTTATCCATGGAATATTCAGAAAATTCAATATAAAATGTATTATTAGAAAAAGCCTAAATATGAACAATATTCTAGGTAACAATTTAAATCTAGTTCTACTCTGAAGTCCTAAACATAGTTCATTTAATAATTATTTGTATAATATAGATAGAATATTATTGAATACATGGTCATGTATTTTATGTTTGCATTGGCAGTCAACGAATTGGATTATAGCAACACATGATTGATTTGTTTATTTTCAGTTTCTGACTGAGACATGAACTAACTGTACACTTTCCTGGTCATAAAGATTTTCCTATCTTTTTAAAAATAATTCCCAAGTTAATATTTCTTATTATTTTACAAAATTTTAATAACATTACGGTGTGCTATAGGAAAATGTGATCAGGTCCATCTATTGCTGTATTTCATTGCCACTCAGAATATAGAGCTTTAAATTTGATGAAAATAAGCTTCATTTCACATGATAGAATTTTATAGCGCTATACTGAAAAATAGTATGAATTTGCATAAAATTCCTAGAGTATCGAAGAAACATACTTGATGATAGTACGAGAATAAAATGAAAAAAATTATTTAAATAAGAGATTCCTCAATGTCTAGTTTCTCTATAGAACTTATGGAGATTCAAAATACCTCCAGTGGCTTTTCTTCCACATTGTTGGGGTAACTTTTATAACTAAAAAAAAAAATGTAGAGTTTAAAAAAAAAGAGGGTAGAAGAAAGTTCTCAAAAATTAAGATGAATAAGAAACAGTAATAAATAAATCCAACATGAGAAATATTTTGTAGTGTGGTAATATAACCACTGACTACATCAGACTCATCCAACTTCTCATGCTTTACGTTTTCCAAAAGCCCATCAAATCTTCGAATCCACCACAGTAGTATCATCTTTTCAACTTCAGCAACAAGGAAAAGCCTGTGTAAATACCAGGGTTTTCTATGTCGACTATTCCATTTACAAAGGTCAGGCTAATATGATGTGTGAGTTACAGCCTCATAAATTTTCAAAGTGTCACAAATGACGAATGTTTTTAATTATTTTAATTAATTATTTTTTTCCCATTTAAAAGTAAAAACAAAAATGAATACATTAATTAGAAAATCTAGACCGAATTAAATAACCCATACATCAAAATTTGTACATATAAATGGAGAAAATAGATTTAAAAAAATCAAAATAAAACTATGAAACTTATCAAAGTAATTTTTGCTTTTTTTTATGTAATTCTTCTATATTCATTATTCTATTAACTAATATAAACTTTTATTTATTAATATTAAAATAAATATTTTGAATAAAAATTTCTCTGTAATTACTGTGCATTTAAATGAATATAAAATTTTATTTTAGTCATCAATATATTAATTCATTACCCAACAAACTTTATTTTTAATATAAAAATTATTTTCAATTTTTCAAAACCATAAATCATTTTGGTAGTTTACAAAGCTTATTCTATTGCATTGCGATATTTTATATATTGACTTTCATCGAGATGTGACACATTATACTATCAAGAAAGATATGTAACAAATGACCAAATAAGTTGAAACATTTTAGATGTTATTCCACGTTATTAATTAAAAATAATTATTTTATCGAGTTTATGAAATTTTTATAATCAATGTCTCTTAATGAATTGTTACTTGAAATAAATCAATTTTTTACATTTAATAATTACTGATTAATTTTAATCCAAATGAGTCGATTTAGTGGTTCAATCTTGTCATTAGGTATTCTACTTAGAAGATGCTTTAGAAGCTTCAAATAGAGACTCTTCTTACTCAATTTTGCTTAAGGAATGGCTTCACCACAAATTCCTTTACCCCTGTCTCTTTCACTCTTTCTTCACGTTCAATCTAATGACGGATGATATTAGACCATGAGTATGCAGGATATATTTAACTTCCAACCATATCGAACCTTACTAAGATTAACGGCATATACGTGAATATTGAGAATGACAAGATCCACGAATGCCAGATACAAGTTCATGAAATTAAAAATGAATGTTAATAACGATTGGATTAATTGTTACAGCTCATTGGAAAAACGATAAGACCTTTGGTCTATCTCAATAGATGCCCCAGGTGGTGTATTCACGTTGTATCGGAAAACAATGAATCTTCGGACACTTCGAAAGCTACGATAGTTTCCGTTTATTCTAGGGTGAACCGATACCACCCTCCGGCATACGAAAAACTCAAGGGACTAAACAAATCGAAGAATCAACATTGATGTCCTCTTTTGTTTCTGACGACCGAACAAACTATTCACACGACATTATAATCGATTACTTATATATAAACTTGACAAGGAAGATAAAAAAAAAATAATACCCATTTCAATTTTTGTTTAAATATTCTAAAATTTCCCAAGTATTCATGATTTTCTATTGAAAAAATTTTAATTAATATTAAATCATAGCAATGATTGTTAATGATGAAAAATAAGTTTGATAGAAGCTTTTTTTTGTGATAAAATTTTAATTAATTATTATTCATTCATGTAATGATGTAATAAATTATTCATTTAACGTAATAATGTAGTTGCACTGAGATAATTGTTCCACCAACCTTCAGTAAAAATGACAAGTGCAGTTTTTAAATTCTAGAAGTAAAAATATTTTTATACTGAGAAAAAATTGACTGTGAATAAGTAACATTTTTTCCAACTAATAAAATCAAAATTTTTAATAGTTTTAATTAAAGATTTTTTTGCTAATTGACATGGTAACATTCTTATAGATTCAGTTCTGATAGTTACTTCAAATAATTTATTAAAAAAATACATTTTTATTTTGAATAAAATTATCTAAGTATTGGTTTATTCTAATGTCTCATTTCTTTTTTAAGATCCATGGTATTTCAGAAAGTAAGAATTAATCTCATGTCATGTATTTAAATTTACAATAATCTTGAACCAAATATTAAAATATATTATTCAAGCAAACTTTCGTTAAATTTAATAAAATATTTTATTACGAATATTTAAGACTTTTTTTATTAATTAAATAAACATTGTTTTGTGTAATAAAAATCAAGTTTATTTCGAGAGAATAATTTATTCCAATCATTTGTTTATTGGATAAGTTTTAAAAAATATAATAATAATTAAAATTGATATGAGTGAGTTATTATGTTGAAGAAAACATTATTTTTAGTTAGAAGAAGAAAGAAGCCAGGATCAAAAACAAAAGTACATTCCATCAGACTTTGAGCATTAAG